CAAAGCTACCTGGAAGAAGCAACACTTCAGCAGAGATCTGAAGAATGAGTCAGAGTTAACCAGTAAGCTGCTGAGGAACAACAATCAGTTGGCATTTGCTCCCTGGTGTTCTGTGCTGGAACTCTGGAGCTGCCAACGCTAACTTCATGCCAGGTGACAAATGATCTGAGTGCCCACAGCTGCAGCTGCCGCTCTATACCCTCTCCCTCCTACTTCCATCATTAATGAGCCAGAGACCAGAAAAGAATACATCTTAGTAACCAAGAGCTCTTCTGTTAGCCTTTGGTCCAGAGATACAAGAAACGTTCTTCACTCCTGTTAACAATACAGCTACAGATCCTTTATTATTTTCCTCTAGCACTTGCCAAAATAGAAGTTTGCTGCTATGAACTCTCATTTTTATTCATCTTGGTAGCAGGTTGTTGTATGCTCATAAATGTACTCATTATAAAAAAATACATGATGGGCGCCTGGGTGGCTCAGTTGGTTAAGCCACTGCCTTCGGCTCAGGTCATGATCCTGGAGTCCCTGGATCGAGTCCCGCATCGGGCTCCCTGCTCGGCGGGGAGTCTGCTTCTCCCTCTGACCCTCCCCCCTCTCATGTGCTCTCTCTCATTCTCTCTCTCTCAAATAAATAAATATAATCTTTTAAAAAAAATTACATGATTTTTTCTTCCAGGAACAACTTTAAAGCATGTCAGTGCCCTAAGGTCCCTTAAGGTTAATTCTTGCTGCTAGGAACACTTCTGATTTGCCCTAACTTTCAGCAGTTCTGACTTTGGAATATTCTGCCTGCAGTTACACAAAAGCCCAGAGACACAGGTGTGCCAGAAGGTATCTCTTCCAGATGTAACTAGCTTTATTGAGTGAAGGCAAGGTTTGTGCCTTTATAGATACCTCTGTATTTCAAATATTATTTTTAAAAATCTCATTTCAAACACTTGATTTAAAGAGAAGCAAACTTTCCTTGCTGCTGTGGTGTGTCATTTTCAGTACACAGAGCTTTTAGAAAGCCTTCCATTTTGCCCCTTAGAAGTCACTGCTATATGTCTGAATCTACTTATTTGAATTTGTGAGGAAAAAAAAAAAAGAATTTAATCTTTATTTAATTGTCAGAAACCAAACTTCAGTGCTGTTTGCGACTGGCAGTATGTTTAGTTTAACAGGGAGATTCAAAAGAAGCATGGAAACGGTTTCTTTCCTTTAAGGAGTTTACAGTTTGGTTGGAAAGGCAAAAGAAATCATGTTAAACTGACTCAGTGACACTGACTATAGAAAGCAGCGACATGAGGACACCAGAGGAAGAAGAAAACTTTTCTCTATACTAAGAAAAAGGAGTATAATACGGAATCTAGTAGTAGAATATTTTCATTATTGTGTATATTTTGTATTTGTATATTTTTGAAAGCTAGCCTTCCAAAGAATAAAGAAAAAGCCCCCAGTATATTTTCCAAGGCTCTGTATTTGTGTCTTTCAAAATGATCATTTAAAGCAACTTACATGCTCTCCTGAAACAAGTTTTTTAAAAAATTTAAAGAATCTTGCCAAACTAGCTCCACTATATGAAGAGAAATCTATTTCAATTGCTATAAAAAACACAACAGCTTTAAGTCAACCACTAGGGGGAAAAACCTGCAGTACACACTGCAGTATGTTTCTCCGAAACTGAATATCCAGCTTTATTTGAACAAGATATGCTTCCCCTAATCCATTAGTCTCCTGGCCAAGCCATGCCCTAGGGCTTAGAATAAGGTAAAAATCCTAGGTCACTATATGTTACCAGCTCCTCTTGCACAGGCTAAAAATAAAGCATTAGCAGCATGTCCAATAGGATGGAGACCAAGACTGGTGTGAAAATTTGCCATATTGACAAGGATGAGAGAAAAAGCCTGACTCTGTGCTCATTAGCTCAAAGTGAATCAAATCCTGCATCCTCAGTTTAATTAACACATATAAGCCCCATCAACATATATTTTTAAACAGAGAAATTCTATCCTTGCATATGCATTTTTAAATGAATCATATAAAGGTAAATTATGATATATAAGTTATCCTCACAGAAAGAGGTCTCTCTTGGGCAAAAGGGGAAAATCCAGGTGTTTATTTTTTAATGTTGTTGGTTCAAGGACACTGTTTTTTGGCTTTTTTTATTTGTATGACACTATACATTCATTTATAATCTAGTTGAGTGAACCATATTTATAATTCCTTTAAAATGTCTATTTATTTTCATTTAGTATCATCCTTTCAAATGACAAAAAAAATATTTTCTTCACTAATTTCTTCACATGTGCTGGTCACTGCCCATAAAAGCTTTAGATATTATTACACAGGGATAGAGAAAAGGATTACCTCCGTGTATGAGGGCTGGAACCCCAAGCATGCTACTTCAGTGCCCCCTAAAACTATGGAAGCAAAGAGCTAATGCTCTCCTAAGTGATAACTTTGCACCCCCCAGAAATATAAAGAGGCTCTAGAGAGTATGACCTGTAGTAAGTTGCAGACTACCAGATACTGGAGGCATTCACATAAGAAGGTAAATACATACTACAGGGTGCAAAGACATTCCCCAAACTCTTCAACTGTTTTCCTGACTTTATTTGTTTAATATGTGTTATATACCTATTATATTTCTACTGTAGAGATATGAAAACAACCTGGTGAATTCTGCCTGAATATTTATACAGTTTATAATTATCCTAGTAATCCCTTTCAAAATGTAAAGGAAAGACTATTCATGTAAGAGGTTAAAAACAGATTAAGATTAAACATCAAGAGTGGCTATTCTAGGGAACTTGCTTTTCATTACCTGAGCCATAAGGGGAATCAGCTGCAACAATAGTTCTATAGAGCTGGTAAATTTTGAGGATGTTAATCATTAATGAGTAGTAGGAAACCTAAATGTAAATAATACAGAATCCTGGCCTTATCCCCACTTTACCATTCATTCACTCATACAGTAGATACTTTTTCCAAGAAATTTCTAGGTTCTGTGGATGTAATAATGAAAAAGACTTCCATATCTTGGAACTTATATTTTAATATGGTAGATATACAATAAGTAAATCATAAAGTTATTGTAAAGCCTCACACTGGCTCTTGCTATTATGCACAACACTCAATATTTCTGAAAGAGTACTTAATGCCTATATTGTTAGTGGCACTCGGGATACTAATGATGAAAACCCAAAATGTTCAAGGTCATCTCTAGCACTGCCCCCTCCGCCCCACCACACACACACCTGTATAATAATATCTCCTACTGCTCACACCCGAGTTCAGTGAAGAAAGCAGTACCCAAGACAAACTAAATTCCTGACTGGACATTATCTTTACTCACCAAAATTGATCTTCCCACCCATCCCTTGAGAGGAGTACCTTATAATATAAAGTCCCTAAGTCAGATTTCTCCCTCCACTTAAATGCTATGCACCTTGGGCTTACACCTCTCTAATAGCACTTATTTTGATTTGTATTTTCTTATATATTCATGTTCATAAAAATGCCCACCTAGTCATTTGACTGGCAACTTTTTGAGGGCAGGGACTGTTTCTAACTTTTCTTGGTCTCTCCGGCTTTATTTGGCATAGTATCTTAAACAGGTCTCAATTCATATTTCTTACGTTGAATTGTGTTATATTTGCTCTGTGCAATGGCAGAACATAAAATTCAATACCTGATTCAGGTACAAATCTGTTACAAAGGAATACATACAAGTTTATAAGTAGACTAACATTAGTTTTAGAGTCATAATACTAAGAGTAAAGCCTCAGCCTCTGTAATTTCCAATGCAGTTCTGAAGTTTTGGGTCTTTCTGCCGGCTGACTAGTTTCTAATATAAACTCCCAGTCAGAACTCCCATGTTTTCAGAGCTTTTGTGCATTCCAGCTATAGTAACCTCAAGTCTAGGGAATCTAGATTTATATATCTATGCATTCTATTTCCATATAAGCACTTCAGCCAATATTTTATGTTCAAAATATAAGAACCAAACTTTTCCTCAGAATTTAAAAGCACAAAATAAGTGCACAACTGAATGAAACTTGGGAAATTTAAAATGTAACACTGAAACAATTCAAAGAATTAAACAGTCTTTAAATTCAGATTTACTTTTTTAGCAATAGATGATGATCTTCACACTAAGTTATCTAGATAGAAATACTGTGTATGAAGGTGTGAAAAATCTATCCATATGCAACACATGCATTTTTATAACTGTGCAATTATTCTGCATGTAAGTGACATATATATGTTATCATCTACACATAGACAACACATGTTCACATGGCATATTAGGCCATACAAAATGTACATACACAAGATAATGTATTTTTCATCATTAGTATTTTCATAGCTACACAATATTTTTTCTAGCACACAGATATGAAAATCATTCATATTTTGCTGGTGTGTTTATGTCTACACCTATAGGTAGGTAAAAGTGATTTAATATCTAGTCCACCATAGTTAAACATACATTGTTTTCTATTGTCTTTTATAAGTCCTATCTGGTAAAACCACATGGTAATATGGTTTAGGTTTACTTCTTTTTTTTCTCTAACAAAGAAAACATAAAAGTATTTTGGTGCCATTATCATGTTTTTCTTTACACTATTAGATCATATTTCTACCAATAGACAATGTTCTGGAAAGCTTTTATTATATCATGTTGGAAAATGAAAGATTGTGACCTCAAACCCCCATGATCCAGGTTAAAATGAAATGAGTGTATACACGTAGGCACAATTCAGGACACAGAACGTTTGGTACACAAAGAATGATGAGACGGGTTCCTACCTAGCACAATTACAATTCAGTAGTTTCTCTCGCACGTACCAGCTCAGCTGCCCACGATCCACGCTGCTTTTAAATACTACAAAGCAATTTACACTCCAACTGCCGCCCGCTTAAGTTCCTCTTTTTGCGCTCAGAAATGGAAATACTTGGACAGTGAGTGATGCCCTGTTGCAGCTGCCTCTCCGAGTCCTTCAGCAACCCACCTCTGAGCCGCGCTGGGTTAAGCCCCTTCGCTCCAAGCTCATTCTCCCCACCAGCCGGCAACTGGTCGGCCGCTGGGCGGAGAGAACGGGCACCAGGGCGCCATCTGGAGGCGCCTCGAGGCAGCTGCACAAACTTAAAACAACTAGGTGGAACAAGAATGTCAGCAAATTCTTTGGTCAATAAGCATACTGTTTTATTTACACTTTCCTATGCATATTTTTTTAAAAGACAAAAATGCAAGAAAGCCTCATTTTGTTGCCTATGAATGTTCTATTTCTCTCATACTTCACAGTAAAGTAAAAACTGTGATTTCATTTATATACGAATAACAAGAGATAGCAAATTATTTTTGTTTCTTTTTGACTTATCTCAAAGAAAAATAATTAACACTGGACACTATCAGATGTTTCTGGGATTTTGATATATAACAAAGAGGCAGCATTCCAAAAGAAAAATCTATTCCTCTGAACTAACACAATGCAAGTGTGTTAAACATGCTCTGCTACTTTAAAAAATTACAAACCCTACCTCTGGAAATGTTTAGTGTGTTCCTTATCAGTGCATTACACTGACTTGAGTATGATAACAAGAAAAAACAGTTTCGGTTATAGTTCATTTGATAAGGTGTTCATAGGACTTAAACATTTCAACAAAAGCTCCTTGAATTAATTTCCCTCTAAATATCTCCCTAAGCTTCTTTCCCTTAAAGAGGATAATTTGTATACCTGAATGAGATATAAGCTTAATTAATTAATTGAATAGAGCACTTAAAGGCTTATCTACTGTGATATGAATTTAGAAATGTGATTATTGAATGTTTCTTTATTCCCTACAGATCAAAATGAATGTGATTGCTATCCCCATCCCCCACTCTACCTCATTCCTACTTCGACCATGCAGAAAGATTTGGAATTTCACCTCTCCATTAAAATTAAAATTTGACTTTGAAACTATTTAATAAAAGACCCATCTATAGTGATTGTATATTTTTCCAGGCAATTGTGGACCAGAGCTTGATTATATTCTATGTGGGGGCCCTTTTGGAAAACAAAAATTCTCAATCACTTCAATTTCAAATCAGTGTTTGAGAATTTCTGGCAGGATAAACATAGAAAAAAATATTTCATCTCAATTGTTTATTTTCATGTGTTTGATAAATAAATACATTAGCTTTTCAAACATATACCATTAAATATTTTCTAAAGAAAAGTAAGATTTTTCTTCTAAATAGAGAGAGTATGTACCAAATATTCAAACTATAATTTTTGTGAGTTTGTAAAGTCTCCCAAAAACTTATGTGGTGAAGGGATTAAAAAGAATGTTAACTTTTTATGTGTATGTCTCTATACCCTCAACTCCTAGCACTCTAGAATATGAAAACATATTAGTTAACTGACTCCTAAATTATATAATTTATATGCTGCACTGTGGTTGCACAGAATTTCTTAGAAAGGCAACATACTCAAATATACAGTTTAAGATTACAAGCAGAATAAATAGCATTTGGGAACTTACAAATAATAAGGTATTAAACACTGACCAAACACAGATATGTCCAACTTTTACAAAGTAAAATGTGATACATGAACATTTAGATGTAACAAACAGATCAGGGGATAATTTTTCCCACCATAAATGTTTTGACCTTACAAAATCATTCTTTAAGTAAAAACTCCCCACAATTTATAGAATGATTTTAATGAAAAATAACTATTTGCATGCATAACAAGAAAAGAAAGTGAGACTTTAATGAGAGGAGTAGCCATGTAAATTTCACAGCCAAAGACACTGTGTCTATGCTCATCAGAATGAAAAGCTGAAAACAATAGGGGTTGATGCAACATGCAAAAGAGATGATTATGTGGCTAGGGCAGGAGGAAAAGCACGATGGCCATGAGGTGTCCCCTGAAAGAAAGTCTAAAGTTAGTCTTAAGACACTGAGATAAGAGAAAATAAAAAAAAAAAAAGAGTAAATTCCCCCCAAAAATATACTTGGAAATAAATAAGAAAGTAAATTTTTCTATTTCCACAATTTAGCATGTAAAACTCAAAGAAAGCAAAAAAGTCGACGTCAAAGTCCCACATGGGGCCTAAGGAACTAAAATAACATGGGGTCTCTAAATATTTGCCTTTTACTGTAAACTAGGATAAAGGATCTATGTTTATGTTCTATTGCTAGTTAACAAATTACCAATCTTAGTGGATTAAAACAAAGCACATTTATTATTTCACACTTCCTACAGGTCAGCAGTTCAGGCATCACCTCTGCTCAGTGTCACAAGGCTACAATCTAGGTAGCAATTGGGCTGTGTTCTTTTCTTTCTCTCTCTTTTTTTAAATATGAACCAGAAATGTTTATTGCAGAAATTTGGTAAAGGTTCCCATTGGGTGGCCCCTGTTCAGGTTGGACTGGGGCCCTCCATCTGGGGTTGGGCAGGTGAAATAGAAAAGGGTAGAAGTAGTATGTCTGGGCCCAGGGCCTCAGAGCTGCAAGATGATGTTGGGAGCCAGGCTGCAGGTGAGGCCTATACCCTTTGGTTCCACATTCAGGGACTTCACTATGCCATCCTCTACCACTATGGAGAACCTCTTGAGCTGGCGATTTCCAAAGACAGACACCAGTGAATCATCTAGTAACAAATCTGTTTCCTTCCCAAAGCTCCCAGCGGAGTCAGCCAAGAGCCTAACCTTGCCTCCTGAGTTGTGAGCTAGTCCCCACACTTCAGTCACAAAAACATCATCAACACTCAGATATGGTACCACCTGAACCCCGTTGGCCTTCAGAGCCTCAGCCTGCTCCACAAACCCTGGCAAGTGGGTCTTGGAACAGGCCGGGGTAAAGGACCCAGGGATTCCAAACAGTACCCCCTTCTTGCCCGTGAACCGCTCTGTCAGGTTCACCTTGTTCCCAGGCTTCCCTTCAAAAACCACCACTGAAGGGATGGCATCTCCCACCTTGACTGGGCCATAGTGAGGCAGCACTGCCGAAACTGAGGCCCCACCAAGTGTCTACTCCCTGCTTTGTTGCCCGCACCCACCTGCTCCTGTCGCCACTCATGCTGCAGACTAATGGCTGCAGTCCAGACAAGAACTGAGTCTGCGTGGCTGCCCAGAAGGTACAGTCCAGCCAGCAGCATGCCCATCCCAAAGCAACCGGTCTATGTTCTTATCTGGAGACGTGGTCGGGGGAGAATGTGTTTCCAAATTTAACCAGGTTGTTGGAAAAATTCATTTCCTTGGATTCTTCAAGACCACCAGGAGAAAGTGTTTTCATTTTAGGGAGGGCACTATTCTCTCTTTTAAGGACATTCACCTGATTAAGTCAAGCTGACCCAGAACAATCTCCCTTCCAGTTAACTCAAAATCACTGATTTGGAACTCTAATTTTATCTGTAAAATCCCATAACCTTTGCCATTTTCTCTGGATAAAAAAAAGTCACAGGTTCCACCCACACTAAACTATGAAGATGAGATTACACAAGGATGTGACACATTGGGGGTCACCTTAGGGTGTGTCCACAACAGGATCTCTGTGCAGGCACATGGGATTTCTTGCTTACCATTCAAAAACATAAGTGGAACGGCCCGGTGAGAATAAGAGTAGGGCATTTTGTTGCCTTTAGGATCAAGGAAGAGATATGGATATATTTATTATAGAAGTTTTATAGATGCAGAGTTATATGTAACAAAGAAATATAACAAAGAAAAAACAGAGAAGTCATTTTGTCTAGAAGGACATGGAGGCAGAAGTTAGATGCACTGAACTGAGGAGTGATGTCAGACTCGTGAGCAGGACTTGGGACAATGGAGAGCACAGGTGCCCATCTGGCAGTGGTGGCTTTATGTACTAGACGTGTTTGTGTTGCCTGGCTGCCTGTCCACGGCCCCTCACACCTAATCTTCCATGCTGTGAACTGGCTCAGTCTTATTAGACCAGGAATAGATAGCTGACCAAGAAGAATACATCCAGAGACTGGCCAGAAACTTATGGTCTATGTGGCCTTACTGGAAAAAATAAGCCTGTCCAATTAAATTTTCAGGAATTTGAACTAAAGTGAAAGAGAGAAGTTGCCAGTGGGTGGAGAATATACTGCAGCTGAAAGGCCATGTAGCAATTATGAGCTGTGTGCTAGCCGATGCAGAGAAAGCAGCTTAGCAGAAGGAGGAAAAATGGTGCAGACTCAAAAAGAAGTAGAGATTAGAGAGAACATTCATTCATTTAATTCCTCTAATACATTCGTATGGAGTTCCTATTATGCACAGGCCACTGTTCTAGGTGCCAGGAATACCTCAATGAATAAAACAAAGTGCCTGTTCTCATGAAACATTCCTGTAGTGGGAGATAGACGGTAAAAATGCCCAAGCATATAAATTATATTTCATTAGGAGAGAAAACCATGGGAATAGAAATAAAGCAGGCCACGAAGTTTAAAAGTAATCGGGGAACTGCTACTTGGGACGGCATTGTCAGGGATGCATACTTGATGATGTCCTTTGAATAGAAACCTGAACACAGTGAAGATGCCAGCCAGCCCTGCTGATAACTGTGGAAAGGGTATACTGGACACAGTGCACAGTAGATGCAAAGGCTCTGAGATAGGTGTGTGCTTGGTGAGTCAAAGGAATAGCAAGAGGGGGAATGTGCCTGCTATAGTGGGAGCAAGAAAGCAAGAGATAGGGTGTGAAGGCAGATATGGAGTGAGCAACAACATCACATAGGGCTTGTGAACCTGGGTCAGAATGCTAACTTTTACTCAGAGCGATGGGAAGTCAGTAGAGGGTTACTAAAAGAGTATCAGCCTTACATTTTCAAGAATCATTCTTGCTGCTGTAGAGAACAGATGGGAAGTGAGGGAGGTGACAGGGAGACCATGTGGACCCTGAGAGATACAAAGTGTGGCCTAATTTCCCATTATGTTCCCCATGAGGTCTGGCTGTATTTGTTTCAGTCCTTGAATTTCCATGAGATACATTGCAAATCCTTTTTTTAACAACCCCCCCCCTTTTCTTAAACCGGATTGCCAAAGACTCTAATGAATGTTAAACATATTCAAGACTTGGGTTATATATTTTGGCATAAGAGCTAAAAGGTAGTAGAATTTTAAAAACATGTTACCTTTTTCATAAATCATAGAAAGTGCTTGCACATTTGGGAGTTGATATCAGACTGTTAAATTGTTAAACAGAATTATTTTTCCAGGGAACTGGCTTAAACCCATACAAAAAGGTCAGTTCCCAAAGATTATCTATCTGATCCTTTGTGACATAAATGTTTCGAGAGTTTCTAACTCAATGAATATTCTTATCCAATATCAATTAAATAAATATAATTCAAATTTTATATCTTATGGATAACTATTTTGTTATTCTATGAGTCTTTGAAACTAGGTATGCCTCCCCTTTTAGAGACAAAACAATTTGAGACGAAACAATTAAAAGATTTTATAAAGAATCCATTAATTTTTTATTTTATATCCTCCCAGCCCATGCACAGATATACACATGCATATGTATCATTTTTATACGTGTAAATACTTTTTGGCTACTTTTTAATGGCATTTCCAATGAAATATTACAAAATCAACCATAAAGTGTTTCAAAATGGGCAGGGGTGGGAAGTTAGCAAACACTCTGTCACTGTCTTAATAACATGAGACATTTTGCCACTGCCCTTTTAATGAATATATCTAATACAAGAAATTAAAAACAAACAAGCTAGTTTTAGGTCAGACTATCCTTTAAAAATATATTTTTTAAAGATTTTATTTATTTATTTGACAGAGAGAGAGACAGCGAGCGAAGGAACACAAGCAGGGGGAGAGGGAGAGGGAGGAGAAGCAGGCTTCCTGCTGATCAGAGAGCCCCATGTGGGCTCCATCCCAGGACACTGGGATCATGAACTGAGCCGAAGGCAGACGCTTAACGACTGAGCCACCCAGGTGCCCCTCCTTTAAAAATATTAAGTGTGTGTTAAAATACATGCCCAAATAGGCAAATATTCTTTATCTTTTATTTATATTTTTGGTCACATTTCTATAAGGTAATTTATATTTTTTTGGGCAAGGGCAAGTTAATAGCATTATAGGTTCTACATTGTCTGATAATTTTGCCATCATTAAAAAACGGTGGGTGAATGGTATCTTAGTTGTGCCACATATGTTTATTAAATATTTGCTAAAATATTTGTAATAAACATTTACCATTCACCAAATTCTGAAAAACACTACCATTAGAGAAAATAAAATTCAGACCATTCATCTGTTAAAGAAGGGTATTTTGTTGAATATGAAAGGAAAGAAATTGGCACCCATGGAATCATGTATTTACCTTTAAATGCCCAAATGTGAAAACACACACACACATACACACACACACCATCGATTTTAATACACAGAAGACAGATGTACAGATAAGGGAATCACTAAACATTAATTAACAACAAAGAAATGTGAAAGGAGATTTAGATAGAACATAAAAGCTAAAAGAAGCTAAGTAACTCAGCAGAGTGATACAGGGGAGGCAGCCAAATTCAGAGAAACTTTATTTTTTTGGATTTCAGTCACTTTAAGAATTGTTAACATTCAAATATATATTCAGTGTTTCATAACACTCTTGTTCTATTCTTAAAATGCAAAGTTGTACATAATATTTCCATTATCTGTGGTTTCCAGCACACAATCATATTAAGTCTTTTATCTTGTACCATAGTCAGTGGGAACGAATTTTTCATCAGGCTTTATACTGAAATCAGCCTCATTTGAAAATAGTTATTTCATATTCATGTTCTCAAAAACCTTTCAAAAATTCAAAAACCAGAGGAAATTTGATTTGACTTATAAATATCTATGGGTATTGTTTAGGCTTGCTGGCCTCATTAACTGATGCCAATACTATTTCTCAATGATGCTGTAGTTAATTTTAAATTAGTAGACTAAGAATACACATATAGAACTTCAAATGTGGTTCCAAAGGGATTTCCATGAAAAACTAGTTAAAATATTTTAAGTATTTCATAATTAACTTTTAAGCATTATCATGCCCTTTAACATTTTGTCACTTTAGTAGTTATCACAAATTCTATAGTTTAAATTATCTTCTCAATTTTTTTTAAAGACTTATTTATTTATTTATTTGACAGAGAGAGAGCACAAGTAGGCAGAGCAGCAGGCAGAGGGAAAGGGAGAAGCAGGCTCTCTGCTGACCAGGGAGGCCGATGCGGGGCTCGATCTCAGGACCCTGGGATCATGACCTGAGCCGAAGGCAGCCGCTTAAGCAACTGAGCCACCCAGGTGCTCCTATCTTCCAATTTAAATGACTCCTTCTCTAGCCCTCACTCATCTCTTGAAGATTAGTTCAACATTTCTACTTGCCAGGTGAGTTTCTCTGCATGATTATAAACCTAACTCAAGTAAGTAGGAAGTTCATTACCTTAGAACTTTAAACATATCCTTAAGGGGGTAACTATGACTACTTAATGAGAAATAAAAGAAAACATTTGTTTAAGTTTGCTTAAAATTTGTTCTACCAATTAGATTTGTCCCCAAACAAAATCATCTGCCCTGAAATGTACCAAGCTCCACATGACAGGCAATATTAAGCCATAGTCTGTATAACAATTTGGCAAAGGATAGTAAAATAGGGATTTGAATATCACATAATTAGTCAGACTTGATAACCTTTCAAGTCCCTCTTAATTCTGAGATTCTATGATGTTATAAAATTATTCTCATTCTCTTTTCTCATATATTAAAAAAAAGAAAAACTTCCTTCACTGCTAAAACTTGTGATTTACCTCTTTCCACTACATACAATACCTATTCATTATTTCCTGATGTATTATTCCACAGTTTAATTTATTTCAACAAATATATTTGATTAATTTCCCCTTATCTTGATCTTTGAATTTTTTTTTCTCAGTGGTTTTAATCTTAATATCCACAACCTATTAATTTCAAATAATTTTAGAAAATCTCTTATAAAGGAAACAATAACTTCTAGGCTTAATTCAGACTACAAATTAAAATTTGGAAGCTTTGTTCATGCTAGATAAACTCTGGGAGTTCTAAAATAGTTCACTTAATCTTTGAGATTAAAACACATGTTTACTTCAAAGATAACCTAAGGTTTCATTAGGTGGAAGCTTACAAAGTGCTTCTAAATGTTTTAGTAAAGCAAAATAGAAAAGATCAATGTCTAATTGAATATCTTGTAACTACTTCTCTATATGTATAGCTTGTTAGTTGTAATGATAATGTAGGTATCACCCACAAATATGTGATTCACTAAATTTTACAAGATGTTTTTGAAAAAACAAAGTTACCAATGGCTTTGGAATGTCTACAAAATATAAAACCTTTCAAACATGTTCCTTCTATGGAGTTATAGGAAGACATACACAAATAAACATTTATGTAAGTATGTAACCTTCAGTCTGAATTGTTCAATCCTTTGAATTCTTTCAAATAAATGCTAACATTTAATTTTTTTTTCAAGATTATTTATTTGACAGAGAGAAAGAGTGCAAGCGCACAAGCAGGGGGAGCAGCAGAGACAGAGGGAGAAGCAGGCTCCCCATGGAGCAGGGAGCCCAAAGTGGGGCTTGATCCCAGGACCCTGGGATCATGACCTGAGCCAAAGGCGGACGCCTAACGACTGAGTCACCCAGGTGCCCCTTAATTTCTGTTTTATCATGTTTTTATTTGCTTAATGTTTTGCAGACTAAATTTTCATTTATAAAATTGTATTGTGTGAGTAACTATATTTTCAATTGTTTCAAAGTTGGTATCAAAAGTTGCTCAAATGAAGATACAATTAGTTTTTTGATAATTATCAAGCATGTAGTTTGTCAGCCTGAAAATTATTTGGAATGGACCAAACAAAAACAAAAACAAAAACAAAAAAAGGATAGAGAGAGGCTTCATGAATGCTTGTACAAAAACAGATGAATATAATATATAGATGACTTAGGTATGTAATCATAAATTACTGCAGAGTTTAGAGCTTTCTTGGGTGAATGCTCCATTATAAAAGAAACTCTCTAGTACTACCTTAATTAGTATTATCTTTCAAAAATGTATTTATTTTGTTCAAATCAGAATGAGTAAAATATATGCTAGATAAGAAAAATATGTCTACTTTATTCACTTTAATACCACTGACTCTCTCTGGAAAATGACAGAATAGTTAAAAGGAAACTGAAAAATACTGTTGTCCTTGGAACTAAATATATATACATATATATGCCCTTGGAACTCAATATATATATGTATATGTATATAAAACTATGGGCATGTAAATAAATACCTATGCAGAATGCACTAAAAAGTCACAACAAAGAATCACTCAAAGGATCATCACAATCACTTACCCCACAGCATTTTTATCTGACCTGAAATATTTATGTTGGAAGTACTCACTTTTAACACTAACAACCCATCCTAGCTATTCAATCTTCTGTAGCTCCCCAGTACCATCAAATCATAACAAAATCTGCTCAGAGTAAATATATTAACACATGCAGAGTTCTCTTATGGACAAAAATCAAAATAAATGAAAATCAAATAAAATGAAAAAACTCCAAAAAGGTAAAGAGATTCAGCTATTTTAGGAATGATGTTGCCTGATGTCTTTCAGGGTTACTCTAATATCCTCCAGCCTTGAGGTTCAGGGGCATGTGTGTGATTTCACACTTGCCCACATAGAATATGGTGTACTCAGGAGTGATTCTCCTCGAATTGAGCAACCACCTGAAAAGGCCAAAAACATCTCTATGACTCATCAGCCTACTGATGTAGCTCAGTCTCTCCTAAATCAGACTGATTTGTTATAGGGATGGACCTTTTTTTTTTAAAGATTTTATTTATTTATTTATTTGACAGAGAGAGAGAGCACAAGTAGGGGGAGCGGCAGGCAGAGGGAGAGGGAGAAGCAGGCTCCCTGAGGAGCAGGGAGCCTGATGCAGGGCTCGATCCCAGGACCCCAGGATCATGACCTGAGCCGAAGGCAGTTGCTTAACTAACTGAGCCACTCAGGCACGCAAGAGATGTACCCTTTCCACAACCTTGCCTGGATATATCTTTTAAAATTCAATTTGGAGACCTTGTAAGTGAAAAACCCAAGACAAGTACTCTTTTCTTATCCATGTCTTCACATATGCTTCACATGGAAGCGTTTATTACCCAAGAAACTACTGAGGAGGGTTTGAAATGTGTGCCAGTAGATTTGAAAAACAATATTTAAAAGTATAGGGGGCGCCTGGGTTGCTCAGTCGGTTAAGCAACCAACTTCTGATTTCAGCTGGGGTCATGATCTCAGGGTTGTGAGGTGGAGCCTTGCTTCTGACTCTGTGCAGACTCTGCTTGAGATTCTCTCTCTCCCTCTTCCTCTGCCCACCCCCCCCAAGCTTACACTCCCTCTCTCTCTAAAAATAGATAAATAAAATCTTTAAAAAAATAAAAATAAGGGGCCCCTGGGTGGCTCAGTCAGTTAAGCATCTGCCTTTGGCTCAGGTCATGATCTTGGGATCCTGGGATGGAGCCCCGCATCAGGTTCCCTGCTCAGCAGGGAGCCTGCTTCTCCCTCTGCCTGCGGCTCCCCCTGCTTATTCTCTCTCTGACAAATAAATAAATAAAATCTTTAAAAAATAAAATAAAAATAGATAAAAGCATGTTTCATTATCATGTTGCTTTCACCACTTTCTAGGTCTCTACAGATACCCTATTAATCTAAATAATCTTAAGGAACAACATTGTGAAGAACAAATGGAAACACTATATTTAAAAAGCAATCTAAATTCACTTTATGCACAACCAACACAGTTGCCATACTGAATTTGGCTAATTTATGTACAAAATCCAAAAGAATTCCACAGGCCCCTGGTTTTCACTCTGAACAGTTGCATCTTCTTCTCTCTTTTAATGAAGGTAATACAGACACTAGACTTGTGGTATAATATGTATATAACATAGAGTAACAAAGGTGTAATATAGTATACAGAAAATCCATTAAATAAAGGCTAAAATCATACCTCCAGGCATATTTTCATATATAAAAGAGAGTACTCTTTGTTAGGGTTGAGTTAGCTCCTTTGAGAGCTTTTGCAAAGAGGGTTGAAGTCAGTTTATGTCTACATTATACTAGCTACACAACTTTGCTTGTCTTGGACAATTTATTCCATTCACTTCAGTTAGGAATGGCAAGAGATACAAAGATGATTCCTGGGACTACTTCCTATTCAGTTTGGAAGTTAGTGGAAGATTGTCCTCTCTCCAACACAGTCGCTGATGAAAGGGATCTATTAAAAAAAACTGCGTTGGTTTACACTGCAGATTGAATGGAACATTAAATGACTGCATTAGTATGACTGCAGTGGGGGTTATGGTCGCCTCCAGTGGGTATATAATGTTGTAATAATACTTTCACATAGGTGCAATAATTGCTCAAGTGTCCTCATTTAATTTGTCACAAAATAGTATCCAGCATCTCTCCAGCAAATGCCCCTCACACCTCCCCTCACTCTAGTTATATTTTCCTCCCTCTTGGTGAGTGTAAACAGACGAGGAAATCTGTGTACTTCCAAAATGTCACCTATGTATCACGAAGCGGGGTGGGGGGGGGCACTGTAAATCACTTGGAAACAGCTTCTAGGAGGCGTTTAGCGATACCGCCCATCAATACAGCTCAGATGCTCTTAATTTGATGACCCCGCCCAAACCCCTCGGGCCTGGCCTGTAATTTTCCAAACAGCCACCTCTCATTTGCAAATAAAAGTTAAAATCAATCCACAGATACAGAATGCTGACTTCCTGCCACTCAATTTTACAGGGCTTCTCTTTGTAGAGCTGCCAGATTGTGACCCATGGAAAATGAGATGAGAGAGAATGAGATGAGAGAGAATGAGAGGAGAGAATAAGAGAGGAAGAGAGAGAGAGAGAGATCACTTGCATTCTTGCTTCCTAAGCAGGGATTTGCCTGCGAAGCGCGGATAGAGGACTGCGGCGGCCGATTTACACAGTTGGCGCGGAGGAGGGGG